TTAGAATGATCATCGGAGTGGAGTGGTAGGAGTTTGGTTGTTAGGGATTGAGCTTGGTAGAATTGGGATTTGACAATTTGAACTGGAATTGGGTTTCTTAATTCTTGGGGTTTGATGCGGATCTGTTTTTTTTTTTTTTCTTTTTGTTATAAGCCAATGCTGGTATGGTTCTTTGGTAAAAATATAGTTTACCCTCTCTCCAGCAGCAGGCTTCTAGCTTCTGCTTAGGGAACGGTAGAGCAACCCACTTTCCACGAGTGTTGTGGATGGAGCTCTGTCTTCAGTCGTTTTGTCCTTCCACGCAACTGTGATGGCCCCGATTCCCGTCATGGAACGGTGGAGCAACCCACCATCTACGAGTGGTGCGGATGGAGATTTGTCTCTGGGTTTTTTCCCCATGTTTCAAGGTATCATACCTCTGATTTGGGGCTTTGCACCCAAACTCTTCCAAAACTTCGAATCAACCATCCAACCCCTCACACCCATCCACTCCATATTTGATGGATCTCATCTCAACACTTACTCGCTACTTTATCCGTGCTTCTATCCAATCGAAGACAACTATATGTTGTCACCCCTACAAAGGTCTGGTATCTTTTCGAATTGGTGTTTACACCACCTGACCTTTTTATGTTGCTGCTTGGTTCTAGGCATTCACATGCCTATTGTGTGTTTGTTTTAAGTTGAGGACCGGAACTGTGGCGACCGGAATGGGTATGGTTCATCTTGATCTGCAGATTTGGCTCTTTTTCATCGGCGTTGAGGACAAAGATGGGTTTGAGTTTTGTTTTCTACGGAGGTTTCTCTTGGATTTTCTGTTCGGTAGTCATCTCCACCAATTTTGCGGTGGTGGAGGCGGCGGGTGAATCTCTGTTTAGGGTTAATAGGTTTTTCTATGTGGTCACTTTGTATAAAAGAAGACGGACTCGTTACAATTCTCGAATGCCAAAGAACAAAGTTTTGCCTTTCTTGATATATAGCCCTTATCCTCTACATATCCATACGCTGATCTATTAATCATAGACATCAAACGTGGACTAAAGTTTTGAAATTATTACTTCCTAGGTGTAAAAATGCATATAATGTCACATCGCCCTTTTCTTTTCTTGTTCAAAGGTGACGATGCTTCAATTGGATTGCTAATAACGTGTATACTTGAATGACAACTAAAGCATTTTTAAAATTGTTGAAACCGTTTTTTGTAAAAATATTTTTAGAATCAATTCATTAGTAAAGATGTAATTAGATCTTGAAAAAATATTTAAAGTACTTCTGTAAAAAATATATAACTGATACTTCTTACAAAAAAAAAAAAAAAACTATGTGTTTTTGAAACCTAAAAACCTTACCACCTTACCATCAAAAGCAGTTTCAACTGTCCATCAATCAATGTTTGTGTGTTGGATGGATGGTTCAGTTGTTCCTGAGAAAAGTAGAAAATTGATGGCTCATTTTCTTTGCTCTTTTGTTCTGGAGCTTGTGACACCGGTTGAGTCGCATATTGGACATCATGAGTGACGACAAATTGATATTGTTCGCAGAATCTCTCAGTCCAACAAAATCAAAACTTTCCACGCGTCTTTACATGAACGTGTACAACTTAAGATGAACATTTCAAGATGTTTCTTATTTCGGTGGTCGTCTTTTTTCTTCTCAAAATTAAAGGTAAAGAAAACAAAAAAGAATGAAGTGATAGATTATTTTATAGGATGAACGGTTAGTTTAATCATTGAATTATCACTTACGTAAAAATTAGATTCTTAAATTATTTTTTTTTTCAAAAAAATTAGTTATTGAATTATAAAAATTTGTCAATTACATCCCTAATATTAGATTCAAAGCTACTTATTCAATTTTTCGTCAATTTAAGTTACCTTACTTGCATGTAATGGCCATTGAATGGTAGATTAGAAATTTTGCATAAAGAAATAGTATGTAGAGTTAACTTTGGAGGGTAAATTAGAGATTAGATTGCCAATCTATATAAAATGTGAAGGGCTTATAGGTGAGAAAATGACGGTATTACACTCTAAAGTGCGTCAAGTGATTTAAGTTGATGAGAAATTGGATAAAATAACTTTGAACATAATAGTATGGATGAAATTAACAATTTTTAATGAATTTAGGGACTTATTTTATCGAGAAAAATAATTCAAATATCTGATTTTCATTGCGGTGATATTTCAGAGAACTAACCAGCTCTCCATTATATTTTATATAAACAATAAGATAATTAGAGACTATTATATTTTTTTTTTTAAACCTGGGTTTTTCTCTCTCTAGTGAGTCATTCTCCCTTTTTGAGAGTTTTTTCTCACCCTTCGTGTGAGGCCTCTAAATTTCAGTAAAACCAGTGGTGCCGACCCTAGCTTCGCCGGGGTCGATCGCCGTCCTCCCCTCTCTTTCCTTTTTATCTGTTTTCCTTACTCCTACTATTTTTTAGCCTTGGTCGTTATACTGTTATGTCCGGTTTCTCCTTCCCAGAAGGTATCTATCCTATGTGTTCATCCATATTCCGATCTTCAGCCATACAACCTACTGAGATTATGTGTAGAGTTCAAGTGGCTTCACTGGCTCGGGTGTTTCCAACACCACCACTTTCTTCTTGTTATCTGCCTTTTTCGGCAGTGTCGTTCGTGGATCTCCACGAAATTCATCTCGACAGTTGGCTTCTCTTGTTTGGTTGCTGGCTATCCTTACTGTATGGCTGTGCACAAGTAGCAGATTGGAGTTTGATGTGGCATTTGGTGAGGTATTGCTTGACTGTGCAAGAGGAATTGGACGGCTTGGGATGACCTCTGGCGGCGAAGGAGACGGTAGAAGTTTCTAGGTTCGGTGTTCGTGTTTTGCGTTTTGGGCCTAATTGTATCTTAGCTTTTGGGATGTGTTGGTCGTTGTGGCCCTTTTTTGGATGTTAATATGTTAGCCTTGGGCTTTTGTCAGATTGTAAAGTTTTTTTTGTAATAAAAAGTACTTTTGACCAAAAAAAAAAAAACAATAAGATAATTTATACTAAATTTTAACGAAAACTAATGAAAAGAGTTTGAAAACTTTGAGTTTTAATGATAATGACAAAATAAAAGGTAAAGTGAAAATACCAGAATTGATATATTAGTGTAAAAATATAGTTTTTCGTTAAAGTGAACAGTACCGGGAGTTTGTCATTAAAGTCTCTAAATTTTATCTAAATTATCCGAAAGGGAATCTCGGATTCAAAGGCTAAGCCCTTAAACAAAACAGTTACAACCTAATAGCAAGAAGTGAAAGAGACAGAGAAAACAGAAAAGGAGAATAAATATATAAAACAATTCAAAAACGGTTATTTTAAGGACTATTTCAGGGACAAGGATCCTCTCCAGATTCTCTTTGTGGGGATCTGGGGATCAATGAATCGTGTTTGTTCATCGTACATTGTGCGGTTAATTTTCGTTAAATACTATTTATATTTAATTTTAAATTTTAAATAATTTTTAACCGCATGATGTAATGAATAGCCACGATTGATTGATTCTCCGAATTCCCACAAAAAGGATCCGGAGAGAATCCTATCCCCTATTTAAGAACCATTTCATTTTCAATATCTATTTACTGAATATTAATATAATATTAAATTTACTATTAGTTATGTGTACCCACGAGTTTTTGTAGCCGTGTAATCTCGAGTCTGGTGTTAAATATGCTTATCCATTTTCAACGGTTTAAAGTATTAGTTATTATCGCTATGTTAATATGTATTTTACATGTTGCTACTTAGTACTACGGTATTTGACCAATATGTTAGTTCATTACGAGGTTAAGCCCACCCCATCTCCTTTTAATGTAGATAATATCGTCTGCTCAAAGAATATGTATTTTACATGTTATATTTTGCTTATTTTTTTCGATTGTTGTCCAATTAAGTTGTGTCACTTAGTATTTTAATTAATAAAAGGATTATGTATTACTTAACTAATACTTTTATGTCATATGTTTGACACTTATTTATATGAGATATGATAAATTATCTTAAATTTGCCTTGTTGTTAGACCCCAGCCCGCCGCCCTACTAGCGCCTAATGTCTTTTAGAACAAAAAAATTAAAAACTATGAAGCAATAGTTTTCACTTCTTAATTTTCATTTGTTTAAAAAATGGAAGTAGTGTAACGAAATAGTTATTAAAAAATCCCTCAGTTGCGTGCATTTTAGCGTATTCTTCCAAGTGTTCCTTCATCTTATTTAAATTGAGGAATTTTTGTGAGTGTTACATTACATCACATGCCTTCCTCTCGTGGGTGTTCATCTTTTTTAATTTTTACATTAAAGAAGGGATAATGTTTGAGAGATCAAATTTTTATATCAAATTTGCAAACCAAATAATGTCTCATTTATATGAAATCAATACGTTAATCAACACTTAAATAATAATCAAATCAGCAATATCCAACTCGTTTAATTTATAAAATTTGATTTAAAAATTTAGTCAGTTACTTTTAAAGGAACGCGCTAGCTGAAAAAAAATCAGGAGACGCACACGTATAGGTAATTTAAATTTATATAAAAGACAATTAAATAATGAAAAGACAAGTAAAGAAGTGAATTGAATTGTATATTTTATATTAACTTATTTAACAAGACAATTAAATACTCAAACCAATTATAAAAAGAAGAAATAGTAAAATAAAGGCCAAAAGTCGATCTGTTATTCACGTAGCAAACGCCAAACCAAAACGTGTGAACAGCAGCCGTGCCGTGCCCTGCCTCCTTAAACTCCATTCATCTCTCTCTCCGTCTCTCTCAGAACCTTCCGACTTCCACTTTTCAATCCCACAATCATCTTTTGTTCTGCTTAATTTTTTTTTCTGTCTTCCTCCCATTGCGGCCGCCTTCAACCTCTCCAGCCGCCATTCAACACCAAACTCGTCCTTTCGCGTTTCTGTGTTCAAAGAATCTGGGCACCTCTTTCCGCGTTCAAAGAATCAATGGTACCTTAAACTCCCCTTTCTCTCTATATTTTAATCTTCCAAGTTCTCTGAGTTTTGACGTTTTCTTCTCGTTTTTATTTTAAGCTCGTATTAATTTTACTTCAATGCGTCTATCTTGCACCGTAAACTTGTGTTATTAGAATATGAGATTGTTTTATAATGGTTTCTGAAATGTTTCTTGCTGATTGGTTTGTGCATAATTTAACCGTTCACAACCAATGAAAATGTAATCTTTTTGCTTTTCTGGTTTGTTATGTTTTGGGTTCTTTAGTGGAGGACACGTCCTTTGAGAAATGAGATTTGAGTGCTTATTACACAGTTACTGCTTCTAATTTGATGTTATGAAACAACTTTTTATTGGGTCCCAACTTGTTCAATTTGCTACCTAGTAGTAATAAATCAAAATGATTTAGTCCCTTTTGGACCTTAGTTATAACCAGATGTCACTGTGTCTGGATCCTAAATTCATCAGGCGCTGCTATTGGGATAGTTGAAATCCATGACAATGTTAGACCGGGCTGGGATTTTGTGATGATTTGTCTCTTTTTTTTTGAGAAACATTCTGTGATTTGTTTGGCACTGAAATTTACTTTATGATTCATTTAGATGACGGGCCCTTGCATTTGCTTGAGCAATTATTTTTTTTTTCTGTGGTTAAACAAAATTCCGCAGTGTAACAGTACTCTTTTGTTGACGAAAAGCTAAGTCTAATCGCGTTATTCTATCTTCTTAATTGATGACAGTAGAAAAATAAAGCGTACCTCCTCTCGTTAGAAGAATCAGTGACATCATTTATAATCCTATAATCTTAATACGTAACGTAATAAATATTATCTGAATGGATTTATTTAGAGCTATAGGTTGTATTAGTGTTGAATTTTGTGGAAATCTTGACGAATCGGTTTTCTCTTTCTTTTTCCTCATGTCATGGCTGCTAGAGCTTATGTATGCAGTTCTGTCATTATACTTCATATGTATTTTTTTTTTTCGGTTTTTGAGATCTTGGCTTATTCTTATTGAAGCTGAAGGAGTTGTCACCGTTTGTTTGTATACAAATCTTTTGATTATTTTGACACACGGAGTGGTGTAGGGCTCCTTCCAAAGTACAAACTACAGCATTTCAACGCTTGTAGCACAGTAATTGCATTATTTTCTCTACTGCATTTGTTCCTCTCACTTTTAGCTCTCTGAATAATCAACATTCGGATTTTATTGTTATTATTTGTGAAGTCGCTTCAAGAGAAATCAAGTGCTGTGGTTATGGAGGAAGGGTACCGTGGGACTAATGACACTGAACTCAGACGAAGCGTATCCAATGATCGAACAAGCAGAGCCACTTCTTCATTAAGGAGGCGGTCCTTAAGTTTATCACATGTTCAGCCTTCTCAAATAGATGATGACAATGAAAGTGAAAGTGTGTCAGAGGCAGGAGATATTGGCGATCGGGCTCTTCACAGCAACAGGCACAGTGAGAGTGGCAGCGTCTGCTTGTTTCCTTCAGAGGATGTTCAACTGCAATCCTATGGATTCTGGGGTCGTGACCCTGTTGCATCCAAAGGAATTTCCCCTGTCACTCCCTTGCCAGAGGAAATCATATCTCCTCTTTCCACTGATGCGATGATATCCGAGGACCCAACACCCGTGAGCTTTCGGTTGATACGTTTCATAGTGTATATTATCTTTGTTGGAGATCCTTGAACATGGACAGGAGATTTGGTTTTCTTTTTCATTGATCATAACATGTTAAGAGTTTTTTCTTTTTCTTTTTGTTGAATCATGGTAGTAACTTAAATTATTTTCTTTTGATATGCAGGAAAATACAATAAGGTTGCCAAAATTCTTTGAATATGGTTCATGCATGACTCATTTAGCAGTTTTTGGCATTCTTGGGGTAACACAGTTAACTCTGTTTCTTACTATATACCGATGTACATTTTGTTTGAGTCCTAATATGTGTTGGGTTTATAGCTGTTGTTGCATTCGTTTGGCAAATTGTATTGCGAACTTTTTCTTGCTTTTTTTTTTTTTTTGGTGGAAAATCTGTGTAATTGGTATGCTGACAAATTGTATCCGGTCTATTGTACTCTAAAATTATATAAGTTATGTTCTCAAAAATGTTTGATCATGCACTGGCATGTTCATATTTCTGTTTGTCTTGAAAAAATTGAATATGTCACTGTAATACATCTTCTTAGATCTTTCTTCAAATCTGGATACCTAGATGTTAAATAGATTATTTGACATGCTACAGTATGCAGGTCTTAACGAGATATCTTCTGCAAAAATTGTTTGGCCCTGGACTTGTAGGTGTAACAGGCGACGAAACCATTCTCTACCTTGATCTTCCTTCTAATATGGTCTCTCTCTCTCTCTCTCTCTCTCTCTCTCTCTCTCTCATGCACACGAACACACACACACAAATGATTATGCCCTTTATTCGGTAGTGTTGTGTTAATAAACATGTTTTCTGTAAAGCTGTTACTTATGAGTATTGGGAGGGACTTGTGATGCACACAGTACGATGATCACCGAAGTATTATCAAGTTTCTTAAGACCTTTCTTTCCATACTTTTTTCCCATCATCTTTTAATTTTTTTTATGCCATATTTCTTAAGGGTTGTGATGCCGAAAATGCTGGATGATGTTCCAACTCAAATTTTTGTTTCTAATGCATTTTTGTAGGTTGGCTCTTTCTTGATGGGGTGGTTTGGTGTTGTTTTCAAAGGAGATATATCCTATGTGTCAGATTATTTGCTCATCGGATTATCAACTGGTTACTTGGGAAGCCTTACAACTTTCAGTGGTTGGAACCAGAAAATGGTTGAACTCAGTGTTGAAGGACATTGGGTTTTTGCTCTGCTCGGCTTTTTGATAGGTAAGATGTCATATTCTAAAGAATTGCTGCAGTAGACATGTAGATCGCTTTGGCAAGCAGGATATTCAAAATTTCATTTCAATCTAGCTGGTTTCTTTCTTTGAGCCTATTCGAAACTTATCCATGGGTAAATCACAAACCCAATGTTGCTCAAATCACTGGACTAATATGAGATCCTCTTTTATGTGACGGATGTCAGGTTTGTTTCTTGTGGCCTACTCCATCATTTTTGGGGTAGAGACAGCAAGGGGTTTTAGGCAGATTCTTGAGAGGAACTCAGTCTGTGGTATTACCAGCTCTAGAAGGAGGTGGAGGGTTGACAGCTACAAGCGTCACTTGGTAGCTTTAGCAGTGTTGTTGCTGATGCTAAGTTCTCTGTGGAGTATAGGTGGAATACAGTTAAGAGAGGAGTTTAACAGTAGCAGCAGCGAGGCGCAACTATGGTTGGGTTGCATAGTTGGACCTTTTGGTGTGTGGATCCGGTGGTTCTTAGCCCGGCTTAATGGACGTGGATTAGGAAAGACGGGTTTGTTGAAATGGGTTCCATTTGGTACTTTAATTGCCAATGTTTCTGCAGCTTGTGTAATGGCAGCCCTGTCTACTGTGAAGAAAGCAGTAAGCTCTTATGATATGATCTCTGTCCACATCCACTCCATGACTTCATCCTCACCATTACCTTTCGTGTGTTATTGTCTCGTGTCCAGCAAGCGTACAGTTCACATATAATTGTCATATTATAAACGGCTAAATTTGTTATTTTGGGTTTTTTTTTTCTCTCGTCGAGGTTTTTAATGCTTCTTGGGGAATTCTTGAACTGTACTATTTTCTTTTGCAATGTTTTTCCAACTGCATTACCTTTGTCATACATTGTCTTGATCCATGCCCACGGTTTTTTACATTTTAATAGAAAATCTGACGCGCAGAACTATTTGTTTGTGCAGGTGAATACTAGGACTTGCGACGTTGTTGTAACAGGCATACAATTTGGATTTCTGGGTTGCCTGAGTACTGTTTCTACCTTCATTGCTGAGTTCAATGCGATGAGAGAAAGCAAATACCCTTGGAGAGCATACGCATATGCCATGGCTACGATATGCAGCTCGTTTGGTTTGGGAATCCTGATATATTGTGTACCCGTTTGGACAAGGGGATACAAGTAGTAGCATGCTCAGGCCATTGTTTTGATGTTTATTCTGTGGTTATGCCTCGGGGATCATGTTCGCCTAACCCGCGCGGTCTTCAGTAGGATCGAAAACATGACACCGTGGTGCTTCTTGAGTGTGTGGCAGCGTCTTGCGGGAGAGACACGAAATATATCCTCATCTATCTATCTCCGTCCTCTCGTGACGATACAGATGCATGGGGGGTATACATCCCGTTTCATGTAAAATCACTCTCTCACTCTATCACATCATACAAAATCATCCTAGCCGTTCAATCTTAAGTCATCTTTTGAGATGATTACACTTGTCATGAGTTATGACTCAATGAAATCTAATATAAGAGACCACATGGACTATGATCTAATGGCTCACATTAAATCCTAACAACTTGAATTAAAAACAGTATAGTCCATGTGGTGATAGGATAATTGGAAGATAGCTACTGTGATTAAAAAAAAAAAATTGAGGATTTAAGCCCCTGTGGTGAAGTCTATTTGGATTTAGGCTCAAAATTGAAAATTTCGTCAACTCTCCGTTAATTGTTAGCACATGAAGCTCACATTTGAGACTAAAAAAATAAAGTTATCCTCATATGTAAGCTCCACATGCTAACAATTGATAGAGAATTCCATTTTAGCCTAATATGTGTAGCTCACATATTAATAATTAATGAAGAGTTGACAGAAGTTTTAATTTTGGGCATAAATACTAACAAACTTCACCACTATGGCTTAAATTTTTTTTTTTTTACCACATATGTTATCTTCCAACTATTCTATCACCACATAAACTAATAATCCAATATGCATGCAAAGAATATGTTACCGTTAGAGGAGGAGCACCACACTCTCTCACTCCATCACATTATACAAAATCATCCTAGCTATTCACCCTTAAGCTACTTTATAAGATGATTACACTTGTCATGAGCAATGTCTCAATGAAATCTAATCTAAGAGACTAAAAAGACTATGGTCCAATGGCTCACATTAAATCCTAACAAATTGAATTTACCAACAAATACATTTGCACATCGACAATATTTACATTTACATTTCAATCGATAGCTTCATATATTGTAAATCTTTCTACATAATACAAGTATTCATCTGTTTTTATAAGCAAAGAAAGATTTAAAAAGGTGAAAATGAGAATTCTTCCCTGAGCTTGCACCCGACTTTAGAATATGTCCTAGAACAAAAATTCCATCAATTTATGTCCTTGAATTCAACAAAAGTTTCGCTATTAGTCTCCCCCGAAATTATGACACTATTCGCACTTATTGCAATATTGTATTCAACTGTTATAAAGCAGCATGACTTAAAAAAAATAAAAATAAAAATTATAACGATAGAATTTACACTAAAAATGATCACCACAATAGATTAACTGTTGAAAAGTCTGATGGCAATGAATGCCCACACAGTATGTTAGGAAAAGTCTTCAGCATGGGCAGAAGTTTTCAATGCCCATGCAAAGTGAAAGTTGAATACATAGAGATTGTATAGTCAGACGAAGTGTCATAAAATTTCAAAATGCTTTAACTGTATCAGTTTGGAGTTGCTCTATAAATAGAGCACTCCGCATGTTTTTAAGTTACAAGGAAAGAAAAGAAGAAGTGAACGAGAGAAAAATATCTGTAACATCATCTATTTTCTCTGCTTTTATTTGTTATCTGCCTGTGCTATAATTTTAGTGTGGCATTTTACATCTACTTTGCACCTACCATTAAAAAGGTTATTCCTCTAACTTTGACCTTTTTATAACACGTTATCAGCACGAGTCTCTAAATATAATTATTCTCTCATCTCTCTTCGCCGAACGAACGAAAGAAAGAAAAAATGTTTCCTTTAAGGTTTTTACTGTTCATCTTCTTCCTCTGCCTCAACTGCGCAGTATACCCTCGCGACGAACTGTTTGCTCCATGTCTGCTCTTAGTTCTCCAACTAACGGTTACATACATCTTTGATTACTTGTTTGGTGTAGAGATTGATTACTAACCCAATATTTATTTATGTTAATTTCACTGCAATCCAAGATGGTGCGGTACAATCGCCCATCTTGAACTGCAAATTTATTCTTACTGCGATCCAAGACGGTGTGGTATCATCGCCTATCTTGGACTGCAGATTTAATTTTACTGCAAATTTTAGGTGGAGCGGTATAATCGCCCACCCTACCCTGCTTATAAATTTACCTGCTGTTTAATTTTATTGCAATTTTAGATGGTGCGGTATAATCGCCCACACTGCTCTGCATATTTAATTTTCCTGTTACTTGAGTGGTGCGGAATAATCGTCCATTCTATATTACATTATTTCAATAAGAATGGTGCGGTACAATCGCCCTTTTCATTCACCCTGAAAATCTCGAGCCAGAAGTTTCGAGTGCTTATCATTTTGGTCTGAAGATCAAAATAAAAAAATTGTAAGAACCAGAAGTTCTAACATCATATTCCTCCAGGAATATATATTATTGCAAGTTCTTACACATCTCATTTTCTTTCAGAAAAGAAAATGGCGAACTTGGCGAAACTTGAATTTGCTGCCCTGGATATTACCGGGAAGAATTACCTGACCTGGGTACTCGATACCAAGATCCATCTGGAAGCAGGGAATCTTGGAGATACCATCAGGGAAGAGAGCAACTCATCTTCTCAAGATCGGGCAAAGGCTATGATTTTCATTCGCCGCCATCTTGATGAGGCGCTAAAGAGCGAGTACTTAACGGTTGAAGATCCGTTAGCTCTCTGGAATGCCTTGAGAAACAGATACAATCACCAGACAAAGGTGATTCTTCCAAGGGCTCGCTATGAGTGGACTCATTTGAGGATCCAAGACTTCAAGTCAGTGGCAGAGTACAATTCTGCATTGTTCAGAATTACCTCTCAGATGAAGCTCTGTGGGGATATTATTATTGAGGAGCATATGCTGGAAAAGACTCTCAGCACATTTCATGCCTCCAACGTGCTCCTGCAGCAGCAGTATAGAGCGCGAGGCTACATTGAGTACAACCAGCTGATATCTGTGCTTTTAGTAGCTGAACAGAATGATGAGCTCCTGATGAAAAACCATCATTCTTGACCTACTGGATCTGCACCATTCCCAGAAGTGAATGCTGCTTCCCTCGAAGTGAACGCCACATCCTGTGGTGGTGATAATCATAAATGAGGACGTGGCCACAAGCGAGGTCGATGGAATAGGAAAGGCAAGAACCATGGAGTTCAGTTTCACAACTAGGTTCCGAGGCATAATTCAGGCTCGAGTTTCAAAAATGCGAATCGCCACAAAGGCAAAGCTCATATGAACAATGCTCCTAGAAACTCTGAAGGAGCCTGCCATAGGTGTGGTGGCAATGGGCATTGGGCGCGTACTTGTCGTACCCCAAAACATCTAGTGGATCTGTATCAAGCCTTTCTCAAGGAGAAGGGTGTCGATACCAACTTTCTCGACCAGGCTAGACCAATGGATATACCTGATCCAGTGTTTGACTTATCAGGGCAGTTGAACACAACTCATCTAGATGTTCCAGACTTTATTATGGAAAGGGGAAATGAAGTATACCGGTCCGATTGAATCATTAATGTACTTTTATTATGCTGAACTTGTAGTATTTCAGATTAAATAAAAGTGGCATGTAAATTTTCTTGTTATAACTTGCTTTTAATTCTGATTCTCTTACTCAGAGAGCATGGATAAAAACTGTGGTTATTCTCAGAACATGAGAAATGGCGGAGATATTTGTCTTGCAGACAGTGCAACCACACATACAATACTTCGTGATCGAAAGTATTTCTCAAGCTTAATACCTACAAAAGTAGGGGTAACAACAATATCAGGACCTTCAGATGTAATTCAAGGTTCAGGGCAAGCCCAGATTATGTTACCAAATGGAACAATATTGTCCATATAGAATGCATTACATGCTACTCGATCTACTCGAAATTTGTTGAGTTTCAAAGACATACGTCTAAATGGATACCACATTGAAACAAAAAGTGCAGAAAATGTGGAGTATTTATGCATTACCTCCAATGATACCCAGAAGCGTATATTGGAGAAGTTGCGTGGTATGTCGAGTGGATTATATTATACATACATAAGGACAATTGAATCACATACTGTCATGAACCAGAAGTTCATTGATTCAAAGGTTTACATGCTTTGGCATGACCGTCTGGGTCATCCAGGATCTACCATGATGCGTAGGATCATTACCAACTCTAATGGACATCCATTAGTGAGCAGATACATTGCTGCCTCAAATGATAACCCTTGCAAAGCTTGTTCTTAAGGGAAGTTGGTAATTAGACCATCTCAACTAAAAGTTAATGCTGAATCCCCATCATTTCTGCAAAGAATTCAAGGGGATATTTGTGGGCCTATTCAACCATCATGTGGACCATTTCGATATTTTATGGTTTTGGTTGATGCATCTACCCGATGGTCATATGTTTGTCTCTTGTCTACTCGGAATGTAGCCTTTGCGAGACTTCTTGCTCAGATAATTAAGTTACGAGCACAGTTCCCAGATTATCCCATTAAGTCAATCCGACTTGATAATGCTGGTGAATTTACGTCTCAAACCTTTGATGATTATTGCATGACATTGGGCATTGATGTTGAACACCCTGTTCCTCATGTCCATACTCAAAATGGTTTAGCAGAAGCATTGATCAAGCGGCTTCAGTTAATAACTCGCACTCTGCTTATGAAAACCAAATTACCAGTCTCTGCATGGGGACATGCCATCTTACATGCTGCATCATTGGTTCGATTGAGACCTATAGCCAACCATCAATACTCTTCAGTACAACTCGTGTTTGGACATCAGCCAAACATTTCCCATTTACGAGTTTTTGGTTGTGCTGTTTATGTGCCTATTGCACCGCTGCAACGCACTAAAATGGGACCTCAGAGTAGACTGGGAATTTACTTGGGTTTTGATTCACCATCTATCATTAGATATTTGGAACCCTTAACAGGTGATATGTTTACAGCTCGTTTTGTTGATTGTCACTTTGATGAGACAATTTTCCCGTCGTTAGGGGGAGAAAAGACCGTTCCAGAAGAACAGAAAGAGCTGACATGGGTTTTTCCCACCTTGTCTCATTTTGATCCTCGCAGCATTCAATGTGAAAATGAAGTGAGAAGGATCGTTCATCTTCAAAGCATTGCCAATCAAATGCCAGATGCATTTAATGATGCTATGAAAGTGACCAAATCACATATACCAGCTGCAAATGCACCTGCAAGAATTGATGTCCCTGTTGGACAAAATAAAGTGGCAGCGAATGATTCATCTGGTGCACGCCTGAAGCGTGGTAGACCCCAAGGTTCAAAAGATTCAGCCCCTCGAA